GAGGAATACACATGCAAACTCTGCCATTCTCGTATGAAATATGGCCAAGGACTTCTAGAAAAGAATCAGGATAATAGTTACAGATGAGGACAAAAGCCTTGAACTTCAGGGATTGCTCATTTGATGTTCATGAGGCACTTCTCTATATTGGGAAGCATTTATTCAGCTATTGCCTTTGTTTATTATTTGTATTGTGCTCTCAGTCAGGAACCAAACTAGATAAGTAGCGAATAGGTCATTTCCTATAGAGATGCTTGAAGCCATTGTTCATATTATTGTGAAGACAGAAAGCAGAGGGAGGTTGACACTCTTCTCACGCTTCATGATTAGTCTGTACTAATTTGCAGTGATGTCCTTTCATAAATAGGCATACATATTTCATCAGTATTTAATATCTTCAAGTAAAAAAAAATCAAACAAGCTGCTACATGATTAAGAACTTTGTAATACTACTGCTGTAACAGTAGATCATTATAAATACAAATATTTAATCTTTTTTCACAGTAATTCAATTCAATAATAAGAGTGTTTCTCACGCCACCAATGTCTATATTTCAATTCAAAATTGCAATGAATCAGGCTTTTATTTCATCACAGTTGCAACCAGAACTGCTGATTTGGAAGGATAAATGTCCCACAGACTAATTCACTCTGTATGTTCTCTTCAGAAAGACTGATGAACCTGGGAAGAGCTGTGTGTAGGTAACATCCTCCAGATATGGGTTTACTATGTAAGCAGTAGAATTGGACTATGGGTTTCACTTTAATTCCTGAAGCATGTGGCAACTGAAAGTGGGTGGCTACAGCTGCTAGAAAAAGCACACAGTCTAATTCGAGGTTTCCCCAGGAAAGAAAAATGAGTTTCTGGGATTGCTGTTTGGTGAGCCACACTTGACATAAGCAAAGAACAAGCAGCGATAGCTCCTACATCAAGTTCACGGATCGAAAGACCGCATGTTTTGGGAAAGGTAGTGTATTGAATTTGTAATGCAAACTCCCAGGATTTCAAATGATGTTCAGAGTTCTACGGGGAGGCAGGAGGGACACACCATATTAAAATACTAAGCACATTAATTATTTGCTCTACTCTTCAGAGATAACTTTTCTTAATTTTATGTTTACAGTGAGGTTAATGGTCCTCTAAAAGGATAAGTGACTTACGTTTTCTGAGGTTCCCTGAATATTCTGATTTAAAAAAAAAAATCATATAATCCTATACAGATAATCTTTGTCAATACAATTAGGATCTAGACATTGACAACTTCTCTCTCTTTCATCAGCATTATTAATACATACCTATTTATAAAAATTCAGCAGAATATTTTGCTGCAATTGGGGAGGAAAGCATACAAGAACCAACACAGACTATCACAGCTAATTACTAATTGCATAGCTAATTACTATAAAATCCCATACCTAATCACTAAAAGTAATTAATAAACATAAATACAAAACACTTCCTAGAAAGCCATTCACATTCTAAGGATTTCGAAAATCTTATGCTTTACATCATGCATGGGCAGTAGTTCTGACATTCACAGTCACAACAACAAACTTGCAGCAAATTTCTACACAGAAAGTTTAAAATTCTTCTTCCTAGGGGGAAACCAAACCAAACCAAAACACTGGCCCTAGAGCCAATCACCTGAAAAACTAAAGATTGTTAGGAGTTGCCACACCTGGTAGCCTGATGGAGGTGACATTGCTGCAGCTCCATTGTCAATCTGTGATGTAGAAGCAGTAGTGAGGCTGAGCGTGTGTTCCCAAGAGGCACACACAGAGATGCAACACATACATGCAGCAAGTGACACACTGATAGAAAAATTCAGCCCTCAAACACAAATGGCACAAACAGCCTCATTCTTCTCCAGCTGGTCAGGAGGGAGGACAGTTTGGCTGGAGGTGCACACATGTACTCAACACGGATCCCTCTTGTAACTTGCCTTAAACACTCAATCTATCCAGTGGCTGGCACCTGGATCCACAGTCTCCACACTTGCTGGCACCTGGACTAGTCTGAGACCTGTGGTTCCCCTCCGGCTGCTGATACAGATCCCCTTTTAACCATGGACACATCCCCGTCCATCCCAGCACACCATGGATCTCCCAGTAACGGGCCTTAGATGCTAGGCGGATCCAGTGACCAGCCCCGGACCCTCCAGCCTCTCAGTTAGCTTGCATGCCCACTGACACCCCCATGTATACATTATGGGCTCTCAGCAGCTGGCTTTGACACCCAGGCCATCTAGGAGCTGTCTCCTGCCTCCCTGTTCTCCCCTTGCCTCATGCACAGAGGCACACAGACGCAAACAGACCTCTCAGTCAACCCACAGACCATGGAGTTGCTCCTGTAGTCATTCTGGACCTCTGGGCCCCTACAGTAGCTGACTCATGAACCCTCTGGACTCTCCGGTACCTGGCCCAGACTTCTGGCCAGATGGATACCTGGCACCCAAGCCACTCACCCGACTCACTAGCTACTCCAGCCTGATACTGAGTTGTGATCCCACACTGACACTCACACCCATGCAATACACACACACACACTCTGTACTCTCCAGTTTGCTGGCACCACAGACACACAAGACTCTCTGACCCACGGTCCAGCTACAGTTGATGGCACTTAAACCTCCAGACACAGAGAGCCCCTTTACGCAGGAAAATAGTTAGAAGTGGAGCACAGAAAGATACAGAACAGGCTCTGCTGATCAAGCACAGGGCACAACTAGACAACGGTACTGAGCAAGAGCCTGTTTACACAGGACTGGCCCTTTTTATCCCCTTATCCCTCTATTTTTCCTTGCTTTGCCCTCCCTAATCCAACTCAGTCCCTCCCTTTCCCTGCCTGTGGTTCTTCCTCTAAACATCCCAGAATAAATCTAGTACAATACTGCAATGCACTTTCCTGCGTCCCGTAGTGTGTCCCATACCCCTGTAGATAGTAGCTCCTTCATCATGAAGGGCAATCAAGACAGCATCTCCTGTTGACTCCTCATTATAGGTTTCAGCTCTGACCCATGGGGCTCAGGCTCCCCTGGGACAGCTCTGGGACAAGCTCAGCATTGAGTCTCTAATTAGGGCAGGAGGGTTACTCTCCCAGTGCTGCACCTCCGCCCTCCTTTGCGTGTGTAGAGATGAGCCTTTTATCAGATAAGCTAACAAAGATATTCTGCCAAGAACGCAGCCTTTTTTACTTTTAAGTTTGTAATTTGGCGCTGGCCCACTATTACATTTTAGATGTATGGATTCTAAAATCCTATTTAAACTATTCTAAACTCAGCTACTAAAAATCCATAATTTTAAAGTCTTCAGAGAGTAAGTTGTTTAAAACCAAGTTTAGGCAGCACTGAACTAGAAGCATAAGACTTCTTGAGATGAGTATTCACACTAGAGCTACGAATAGCTTAATGTCTGCATCTGATAGCTCCAAGAAGCTTTACTGATAGCCATAAAAGATCCTTAGGCTTCACAAACACTACATTCAGTCATGAATGTTGGGACCTTTCTCTTTTTCTCTGTCTTGGCCCTTCCACCTCTTTCTTGTAAAGGAAGTTTGTGCATGTCATGGCAAATTCAGAAAACTTCCAGACAAAATATAACTAAGATGGAATTGAACAATTCAAGCCTCAGGAAAAAATAGGTCTCAAAAATGCTTGCAAATTCAGAAGAGGGATGTTTTTAAAAAATTAGTGTCTTAAACCCCAGTAATTCAAGGTGAAATTTCATAGTGAAACACTCTATTCTTGAAGATTTTCCCACCATTTCCAATATTCGACTTCTTCCCGTTGTATCATGCAAAATTAAATCAAGTGCTATTCTGGAATTATAAAAAGACAATTTATCAAATCAAAAAGCCTTCTTCATTTTTTTTTCACTGTTTCACTGTCTACTTACCTCATAAAGTATATATTCTTTTGCCATTTGAATAGACTAAGGCAGAAACCTTTTCATATTCTATACACATATTAAAAACAGTTTAAGTTCATAAAGTGTTATTCAATCCTTGTCAAAGCCTAAGGCTTGGTGAGTGAAAATACACTCCAATCTGCATTCTTTATAACACACAAAGTAAGTATGTTCCACAGAGATGAATGTACACAAGCAAAGACTCTTAAATGTGAAAACATTACAGTGAAAACTATTTACACGATGCTTACTTCAGCACACTTTTTAAATCATTTTACTTCAGTTAAGTGTAGGAATTACTGTATTTCACTC